GTCGCCGCGATAATAAGTCGCCGTCGGTGCATTCGAAGAGGCGTATTATTTCAGACGACGACGGGAGTATCGCAGGAAGGCCTTGGCTTTAACAATGAAGCTCGCGAATATTTCAGGTGCGCGCGAGCGAGCGAGCGCGCGGTGGAATTTATGTTCACCCCAATTAAAAGTTATCTGAAGCATCCTCGCAGATACCCTTCAGAACCACTGAGGCGTTGACTGTCGTTTCGCAGTTCACGGAAACGCAGACAGTGTAAATTTATTTAAATGCCGCTCACGATAAGCGTCGCGGAAGCTGTTATGAATGGAATGTAATTTCCTCAAGAGCGGCAAAGGGCTCACGATTTCAAGCGCGACTGTTACATTTCCACTCGGCCACCCCCCTTCAGCGATTTTGTAATTGTCAAGTCGCTTTGATCGATTCAATTCGAGAGCTTAACGAGCAACTTCGTCTCCGGCAGGCTCGCGGAGATGAAATCGCGCGACCGGTCCAACTGATTACGTACGTGTGTGAATTGACGCGTTTTAAATGCAACGGCGCGACGGAAAGATCAAAGAATCGCGAGTCAATCTAGACGCGGCTCGCCGATTGCGACGTCCCCTCGCAAATTACGCCTTTCAGTTCGCCCTTTCGAGAGCCTCGATGATCAAGAGCGATGCGAACACATGTTCATTTTAACGACGCTCATATCGCTGGTCAAGGCGCTGACGATGGCCGACGCATGCACACTAGGGGATGCAGGCTCGTAAAATTCGAGATACCACGCACCACGTTCAGGTGTATGCGTACACGAGCGGGCGCCTGTCACATCAACGGACAATGCACACGGATAGAACCGCGAAGATACTTCCCGGGGGACAAAAGGAGGCCCCGAGGAGAGAAAAAAATCCATCTGCCCGGGAGAGACGAGCCGAGGTCAGCCAAAGCTTACGACTCGGGGGAACTCGTTGGCAATTTTCCAAAGCTTCTTCGGCCAATCGACCAGCCCGATAGTCTGCAAAACACACGGCAATCTCTCCATGTATTCAGCGGAGCTGCGGCCGTGCACTCCAAGAGGCGAACGCGAACGCCGCGCGCGCGATTAATCGAAGAGAGAACGCGTAATCGTCGCGCCGGATCGCCGATAACGACGGAGAACGCTTTCGAGTCCAGTCTCTTCGCAGCCGGAATAACCACATTGAGAGAAAGGATTGGGTAAAAAGTATCGAACCTCGAGGTAACGCAAATTTTGCCGCACAAACTGCAATCGAATCGAATCCAATGAAAATTGCGACAGCAATCCCAGCATTCTGATGTACAAATTTAAATTGTAATATTTAATTAATAAGAAAACATGTTAACTAAACTGACATGTATTTGTATGTATCGTATACACGGGGAAACTATTGCGGTCAAAATTACAACGAAATTTTTATAATCTCTCCTGTATCATGCACGAATATTTGCAATTATTATATGTTTGTTTAAAAATATTATGCACGTTCGATTTTTACTACAAAATTATCGCAATTACTTGTTCTTTGTACACCAGATAAATTGTTAAATTATTTTTGTAATAATTTATACTACGATTTCAGTACCGATCTGGAACACTCTGTATAATTCAGTATAGTTTTACAAAAAACGTGGTAAAAAAAAAACATAATTTCGACGTAATTTTTACTACAATGTTTTCTTCACGTAGATGTCTTTCCAACTACCAAAAAATCGTTCTAACGATCTGCACAATACGAGTAATCTGACGGAGGATTAAATCAGAAAGTATTGAATTAAGTTAGGTTAGATTTATGATTGCCAAATTGAATTAAATCCTGAGCTCGCAAGGCACAGATAAAAGATTGAAAGAACACAAAAGTTTGGCCGAAAGAATTACGGCAGCTTGTTCGCCACACACGAGCCCGAAACTGAGTTCGCTGAATTTCGTTCGAGTTATTTCGATGTATCTCTTTTTTTATAGTGCACGTAAAATCGCGTCGTTAGATTCGAATTGCGCGAAGACGAGACAATATTCAATTCCAAGGGTCGGTTTTGAGAGCAGCGTGAAGGCGCGAGAATATATGTTTATCGTGATGTGACGTTCGCGTTACGAAATGCCACGCACGCGGGACTGGAAACGCGCTAATTTGCCGCGCGCCGCTTTTTCCATTAGGCAAATGAATAATGCCGTCGTGCACACGCGTGTGCACGCCAAATACTTTATTTGCGCTCGCCCGCCCGCGCACGTATGCGGTCGCTCTCATAATTATTGCAGACCTAATTGAAGCTAAATTTTAATGCGGATTCATCAGCGTGCGCGATTTCCCACTCGGGCGTGGCTCGCGGCGCCAATAGTGCCGATAGCGCTGAAAATCGATCTCCGGCCGCGGAATATCGGTCGCGGATTAACCGGTCGCCCGCTAAATTACACAGCGCCACGATTGATCCGGGACGATCGCACGCTGCTGCGCGACACACAATCGCAAACCGCGATTTCTAGCGCGCCCGCGCCGCCACAGGTGCGGTGACTTCCTGTGACAGTCAGAGCGGACACGACAATCTCTCTCTCTTTCTCTCTCTCTCTCTCTCTCTCTCTCTCTCTCTCTCTCTGTCTGTCTTTCACCCTCTATGTCGTTCGTCTCTTACCTGCCCGCTTCCGTCCGTCCATCCCTCCTTGATGCCTCGCCTTTTCCGTGAGACATCTCGTACGCCGTTTGATTAACACAGCCGAGAGTGCGGACGGCGCGGTTTCGGCATGCTGCACGTGACATTACGGGTATACCATCCATTATTCTCTCCTCTCTTCACCCTTCACTTCGTGATTCTCTCAGTGTCGCGCTTAAATAGATTCACGCGCTCGCGCCAGCTCAACTCCGCCTCGCCCACCCCGTCGCGCCCGTCTCTAGCTGCTCTTATACGTACTTCCTTCCGCGCTACTAAATCATCATCAAGTTGGCGGGGCGGCGATAGTGTTACTTAGCATGCTGCTTACGGTCTTCGAGTTATATCGAATGTCGAGTTATTGAATTTCCAATTATTCGGGCATTCGAACGGGGCGAAAATTCGCGATATACGCGTAACAAACGAGCGTAACGCGATAGTCCGGGTAGCCGAGCGCCAAAGTGAGTTTCCGGAAGCGCGATACCTTCTGCTAAACTTACCAACGTCGGCGTTTTATCGAGCAGCGTCCGGTTCCCTTTTCGTTTTTTCAAAATAATGCCTCTAAACTCGTGCCGTAACAGCAGGATCGGCGAGAAAAGCTTACAGGAAACGATAAACAGCTCGATAATATCGTCAACGCGCGATGACGTATTACTTCTAATTATCGTATAAGAAATATTTTGAAGATAGCCTTAATCGATTTTAACGAGAATATGTTATAGACTAGTTAAACAATAAGAAACATATGTGTTTATTGTATGTGCTTCTTTATATATTCAGGAATTAACACAATCGCCTAAAAGAGATAATTTGATAATAAAAATGATCATGAGCTAACATTTTTTAAACCGTGAAAATGTTTTACATAAAAGTTTTACGTAAAAGACTTATTATATTTGATGTGTTTAAATTTAATAATTGAATATTTAATCATGAATTTAGAGATTTTCTAAAAATATATTTTTTAATGTATTCTTATCATCCGTTCATGTTGTTTTTATTACACTGAGAAAAATAATTTGTTGACCCAGCAAATTTTCTGCTAGCATAGCAAAATCTTTTTGTTATTATATGGACAGCAAAAAGATTTGCTAAGAGTACTAATCACTATTTGCTGGATATAATTTGCTGAATCTATAAATTATTTTGCTGTAAGAACCATGATGAATTTATATAAACAGTAGCAGTTTTGCTCAGATATCAAATAAATTTGCTAAGGATACATTATTTTGCATCGATAGCAAATTAACATGATTCTTAGGACAAATACACTCAACAAATTTTTTATCCTGGCAACGAAACTAGTTCTGCTCTGATAACGAATAATTTGTAAAATTAGTTACGTCAACAAACGTAACGTTACAATATGTTTTTTCACTACGAATATGCAATAGCAATGATTTTGCTAAAAGTAAAATTATTAGCCGGAAATATATTTTTACGCCAAATTCAGCTATGTATGATAAAATAATTTTAATTTGCTGAAATCTTTTTTTGAGGTACAAATTATAAATGCCAAGCTGTAAGTAATTGCAGACGCGCTACATTATGTACGCGTGTAAATAGGATGTATGGTTGTAATTACTTATATCGCGCGAAGATGCATCTCATATCGTAAAAATGCGATTTAGAAAGTAATTCTATTATATCTAGTGACGTAATTTCTCTCAAATTTTTGTTCTTAGAAGAATTTAGTAATTCGTAAGAATAATATTGATGGATAAAGTCGAGATGGATACGTCGAGAAATGCGAAATTTTCGAGAAATGTACATACATAATTATATAATATATAAAACATAAATTAGACATAAATTATATCTGCAAAATTTATTACAAAATGTCACCGTAAAAAATTTCCTCATATATATCTCATGGCTTCAAAGAAATTTGCTCACGATCAATTTTTCTAAATTAAATTATTTCCGAGAGATTGTTTAAACCCCTAAACATGCAAGAAAGCATATGTTAAAAAAACATGTTTCTTATTTTTTAACGTACTATAACACATATCAAAACAAGATTAACATTGAAAAAGGGCACTTTCAAATGTCCTTCAACTCTGTCTACATTTTTTTCGCAAACATTAACTCTCTGATAGCTATCCAATTTGCAAGAACATTATCGTCAAGATGCCACTTCCAAAAAGTGTCAGTTCACTCGAGCACGAGGTCAAGATCATTCTTCGTTCGCGTTATTTGTTACATCATTTATCTGTTCTTGCCGGTGTCATGTGTAGGCACGGAAATAATGACACAAACGAAGAGGACAAAGGGCAAAAAAGGTAAAGAGGCATCTCGAAAAATAACGAAGTACCTGCGAAGAACGGAGAAAGTAAACGACCCTCGGCGCTTGCGGTGGTACCTTTTGATTTTGATGGATCGCCCTTTTCTCGCGACGTTCTCCCCAGGTTTCTTACTTCCTTCGGCACTTCCTTCCTTCCTTCCTTCCTTCCTTCCTTCCTTCCTTTCGCCCGTCTTTTGTCCCTTGCAACTCACTAGCGTGAAGTAAATACATCGACTGACGATGATGGACGCGAAATCGTTAAGGCGTTGGGTTCTTTAACCTTGGATCGGCAGGAAGATATGAAACAGCTCTTTTGACCCGTGTCGAAGATCGAGTTATACATTTTTAACCCCGACTGCTGCCAACCGAGGGATGGCACAGCGGAAGGTGTACTGGTCGATTTGGCTGTCACCGTCTCGTTCGTGACACCGCAATGTAATTCGATAACTTTATCTTACGAAATTTCTTGTGAACGCGTCATTGAAAAATTCTGATACGAAAGGTCTACCCTGAAATTATCGCGACAATTTGGCGTTCTGAAATTAATACACTTCGATAGAGATGCTCTGAAAGTAATATACTTCGAAAGAGTTCTTTGATATAAATGGAATTTGCTCGGAGTAATGATTAGAAGACTAATTTTAAATTTTATCGAATTTATTCTCGTCGATTATCTCACTAACGATACGTAATAGACGATAGAAATGACATGGAAGATGGAAAGCTTTATATTGAATCTTCGTAGAATCAAAGATGTGTCGCTTTAATTCTCTGTTATCGAACATACGTACGTGGGGCGCTGATGTAATTGCATTTAATGCAAATATAGACATACTCACCGCCTGTCATTAACAAGATTATAACGAGCTAATGACATATTTTATGGAAGGGTTGAATGACATCAAAGAAGAATAGAATTGATTTAAATGGGATGATAATTGTCTGGTAAATGGCTTTAACGATTATTTAAATAAGTAAATTATCGGTAAAATGAGATGTATAATATATACGATAAACGTAAAATACAAAGTCCATGAGTGTGCATGTGTCACACAGATTGAATTAATGCAGTGGCTTTTGCAAACGAATAATCCGCATTAATTTTCTTGTCTCGCGTGTCAATTAATGGTTATCACGTTTCCTTAGTGAAACAAAGGTTTCGATTATACTGCTGAGTAGCGAGTGTCCCCATTTGTGTTTGCTTTTCGAGAATATATATTCGCGAGAAAGAATACCGCTCTTCACAATATTTTATCGCATTTTTAGTTGCAACTATGTTCATGCGCATCATCGAAGCACACATGGAAAAAAAAGATTTGCTAATATATGGAAAAGATATGAAAGCTTTGCTAACTTTGCTATGAAAGCAAGGAAATTTGCTGCTGCAGTTAATATTTTTAGTTGACCATATATTAGCAAATCTTTTTTTTTCCGTGCAGACTCTCTCAACGAGTTCGCGAGAAATTCCACCACTTTTCAGATACGCGCGTTTCAAATGAAATGCGTACAACGCATATGCACATACTGCTGAATTTCCAGTAAAACGAAAATTACGATATTTAATGTCGATATTGCGATAATGACTTATGGCTCCACTGTGCAATATTGCATAATCTCAAGCATGCACGTAGTCCATAAGCTAGTCCGCATAGTCGGACCTAATTTGTTACACGACCATTCAGCTCCGCCCAGCACTTAATCGAACTGACAACCGAGTCAGCTGTCGCGAATTAATTTGCCTTGCAAGTGTCAAGAGCAGGGCCGGTAGCCGCCGTCGTCGTTTCGTCGATTCGACCTATTGGAAGTACTCGCGCACGAATCACTTCTCCGACTCTTTGATCTTCTTTATGTCGTTTTTAGTATTATGTCCGTACACGTTCCGGCGCATCGATGCTAGCCTAACGGCGAAAATGAGGTGTTAAAATCCAGCGCGATTAACATTCTCGATCTTCGACCGACCGGTTTCGTTTTTGCGAACACAGAAGAGAGAGACCAAGTATTATTATTTTCACAATTTTGGGAGATAACGCGCGATATTTTCTGTTGCGTAATATAACAACGTATCTGGATTCCGGCCAAAGAGAATGTATTAAATACCGCGAATGTGCCGTGCGGTGAGCGCAAACATGCGCGACAGATGAGAGGACGCGCGCGCGGAGTGCAATGTGAAAAGAAAAAAAAATTATATTAACACTAAGCGCAACGTATACGCGTCGCTATATACACATCTCGCGAATATATTACTCCGGGATTCACGGCAGGGTGCATTCAGGTAGGTACTGTCGCTTCGTCGCTATTACGTCGCGCAGAATTCTAATAATCCCGTCGGTTATTCCGCTTAACAAATGAACAGAGTCGTTCTCATTATCTTCTGCGTGCAGTTTCGAGAAAATCACTTCCACGCAATTTCGTAACAATCCCAGCTGCGGTATTCAACTGCGAGCTTCCGGTATTGCTTTAATGACATTCTTTGGCGTGTAGCACCACTCGCGAGAATTGCTGAAGGGAGACACATATCGGACGAACGAACCAACGAATGGACGAACGAATGGCCGCGCGTCGACAATCACCAGAGAGAGAGAGAGAGAGAGAAAGAAAGAGAGAGAGACAAAATTATAGAGAGAGAGAGAGAGAGAGAGAGAGAGAGAGAGAGAGAGAGAGACGGCGCTTTAAAGGGCTGTTGCGGCATTCTAGGGGGTGACCACAAATATTACGGTCCAACTAGTGGATCCGGCCCTTGTGAAAGTGCAAGTCGAATTTGCGGCTGGGATTTGCTCGTCAGATCGCAGCTCTCGTGTCGGGCCGAGCCGCGCGCGAATACCGCAAAGCAGAAATTCTGTGCATTCCGAGACTGTAATATTGCACTTGTTGTTTGAAGCCGTTCCGCGCAATTAATTATAGAACGGGAAAGAAACGCGCGTGATACCGACGAGAGGATTTCAAAAGCTGTTCAATATAAAAGATGCAACTGCGCATACGTGTGTGTAAGGATATAACATCACATATGTAAGAAGTATATCCATGCGGTTATATAATTTTTACATTAAACAGCCTTTGAGTTGTATACGGACCGGCATAATAGCCTTCATATGAGGTTATATTTTTCGAGAGAACATAATGTATTTCTCATGGGAAACTTCGAAATATTATAACTGCGTGTGTCAAGACTGTTATGCCGAACTGTGTGCGCATGAATGTAGGCATGTGGTTTTAATATATGTATTAGGTTATTGCGAACAACTCTCGCCTTGTCAAATAATACACTCAAAAAAACAATCTCATCCTCGGTGGAATCTTCTTGTGTATATGGCAAGAGGACAGCGTTTTAAGTACAATATTATTTCTCTTCATCAGAAGAAAAATACTTTTTTTGTAAGACTTTTCGCTTAGAATATGGGATCAGGAGAAACGGCACCTTGTAACTAGACTCTTTTTTTTAAGTTTTGGTTGAAATATTTTCCTTTTTTTTTCAGTTTCAAAGAAATCTGTTTTAGATCATAGCATAAGAAGATTCTGCTAAATATAGGATTATATTTTTTTGAGTGTACTGAAAAGAAAATTATCCAGTTTTGGAATATTAGTGATTTTCCCTTAATCAAATAAAAACCATTCTCAACTTTTCTTTAGATATCTAATGAATTCTTTGTCTCTGTTCCTTCCTTTTTAATATCCATTTTCGATAACCTTTTACGAGTCAATATTTAATAGAGTAAACTTTTGCGTTAACCTGATGTTTTCAGTATTAGTTTAAATATCGGGCACAGACCTCCAAGCTCAAAATGAGCATTCGCGGGAGTTTTCCATTAGAAGTAATAGTAGAATAAACATGATCCGGTAAGCAGAACGGACACATGTCACTTTGTGTACATTGTGCAGCTATTTTACTCGATTTCCTTTTTATTTGTCCAGAAATAAACGCGTAATTGGTTTCGCAGTAAACGTGTTTGGCGGGAAAGCAACTGGTATACAAATTTCTGATATTAAAGCGTTTCTGCGTTCGGCGTGCGCGCGTTGATTGTGTATGAATACACTAAAAATATCATTCTATAGTAGCAATTGTGTTGCGAGTATCAGCGTTAATTAAAGTTGCGGATTACACAGGATAATATCGTGTTTACGCGCGTATCGTAAAAATCCTCCGCGAGAATTTTAATTGCACGAAAATTGCATCGTGCCACCGCGCACACACACACATATACATCATCGCGGTCTCTCGCAGCTCAATAAGGATTATAACCAAAGTATAAGCGGTCGTCGTCGCTTTATAACGTCACGATTTACTTCGCGTTTAATATTTGCAGCGGATATTTCACCGGCTGGTGGAAATTCCGCGCGAGCAGACGTTGCAACGTCGCGTGTATCGCACTTGGAACTCACTTTTCTCTCTCACACATGGTGGAAACACTAAGGATATAACTTGCCTAAATATGGTTGCCACAACGTATATTAATGTTAGTTTTCATTCATACAAGATGGTTGTAGTACTCATAGTACTCTGAAAATGGTATACTAACCTTCTTTACTGTTTATCCATATGTCTTTGAGCAGTATTCTCAGTATTGTATGATGCAACCAAACTCTACAGATCTCTCAATCATAGCTCGTTTTGCAGATTACAACAGAGAGACAGCAATATTTCTTTGGTTAAGACAACCATGTATACGAGGATGTACTAACTGAACACCATATATCATAAGAACCATGGCTGTGAGAACTGTAAAGATGGGCATGTAATAACAGCAGCTTTTAATGTTATATTTATTTTACTTGAAATCACAAATTTTTTCCTCTGACAATCTAGAATATGCCCAGAATTATGTCCAGAATATAACCATAGAATATAGCAACTATAGTAGTTTTCTATATGCACTTTCCTAAAATAAATTATTGAAAGCAGTGAATATACACTGATTTGCAGTTATAAGTATAACACTGAAACTGCTCAGTGCTATACTTACCATATACTGATATCAGCGACTATTTACTGATTCATTTTAAGAGAGCACGCACGCGACTCAATACCGCGTTATGCTTTTCACGTCATTGACACAGTGTCCAGTCGATTCTTGCGAGTACACACGTTTATTGCTCGGAAATGGGTTTAATACACGGAATGTACGATACTGTTCGGCGTGCATGAAGCAACTACGACGAATTAACGACGCTGAATCGTGTGTGAAACGTATTTAAAGCGTGGAGTGAAACGTATCTTTCGGAAAGTAACGTCGATCAAATGCCTAGAGTGAATCCGTCGGAAGTACAGCGATGACGTCCTTTGGAGGCCGGATATGAAAATCGCTCGAATACCCGCGCAGCGGTAGAATATAGCAGTAGCAGTAAAATCCGCGCGCAAATACGCGACGTGAATACATTTAATTGTCAGATTGAAAGATAGACACGTTTTTATTGGTTCGCGCGTCGCTTCATGGCGCCCGTTAAAAAATCGGAACATTACAACCGTGGGCGTTTTTCGTAACGAGAGAAATGATTCGAATTTGCCGCGCTGACAAAACAGTTGGCATCTTGATTGCGATATGGTTGTAGGGTTTTGTTGCGAGAGCTTCCATATATATCATAGATTATACACGAAGAAGTCAACCGACAAAAAAATTGCCAATTACGCTACGCGATATGCACATACACAATACACAAATCGACTCTTTATGCTGCAATGAAATTTTAAAAATTTTATCCCGGGACACTTTTATTTTATTTATTTATTTTTTGCGCGTGGCAATATGCAGAAAAAGAAAAAAAAGCGTGTCATTGTAACAATTCATGAAATAATATTAATTTTCAAGAGGATGAATCTGTAATCTGAGAGACGCTGAAAAGTGGAGAAAAATACTAATAGCGCAACAATGTATCGCTTGACTGGGATCGATTTGTTCATCGCGGAGGTAATTTGCTGTCATTTCTGCTTTGCCTAAGAAGACCACTCACGAGTGAGACTCTTTACTTCAACGCATGGAATTAATGTCGCTCGAACGAGAGAAACTACATGCAATCTTAACCTCGATCTAAAAATTTAATATCCTCAGGACATGCACGTGGATATGCATATTTATATTCTCCCGCGAATATATACTTTCAGTGGTTATTTCATTAAAAATTTAGGATGCAGTCATTCTCGACTTCGAGACCGTAAAGATATCCATAAAAATTCTTCGAGTTCTTCTCGCCGGTAAGACCCAAAAGTTTTAAGTGGCTTACTACAAAAACCGCTGTAGAGGACGGATTAGCGGAGAAGTTACGACGCGTACTACATTCAGTCGATTTTTATGCCACGCGGTGCTTATAAAGAGAACACTGAGATTCACAAGAAACTGGGTGGAAAATATACACGAACTTTTTCTCCTCCTCGGAGGCAAGCGTCTCAATTAAAAATATTTCGTAGAATCTATTGCGACTGCAAAGACCGAGATTAGTGTTACAGCCATCAAAATGTGCGCAACTTGATGACGGAATTTGACTCTACTCCTTTCCACTTTGTCTTATTCTCTAAGCATAATCAGGGTATTCTTCAATGAAATATTACACTTACAACTGGTGATTCAGTTACAAGTATAGCACACTGCAATCAGTAAAATCTCGCTGAAAGGATCAGTTAATAGTAGCGGCTGTTCTCATTACTGACGCAGTTTGCAAACACGTCTCTAAAGTACAATAAGTGTATTCTATACTTATACCTAGTGGTTCAGTTATAAGTATAGCATTGCAATCATTGTAAAATGAAAGGATCAGTTAATAATAGCAACCGTTCTCATTACTGACGTAGCTGACAAACACTAACAATGCAATTACATGTAAATCGCATGAACGCCGGTAATTTCATCGCCATAAACGCATAAAGTTAGAAGTGACACAGCGTATAATGAATTCGTAGTGCACAGATTTTACAGTGAAATCTTACCTCCACCGGCCAAAATCAGTTAGATACGAAATGAAGCAATAAAGTGGAAGTGTTCTCACTGAAAATCAGTGAATCCTCACTGATTATTTGTCGAATGTTCCTTTCATTGATTCAATCAGAAACAGTTTTACTGATTTGTTTCGAGAGTATGTTTTAATAACGTCTTAACAAAATTTCACGCGCGCAATACGTGTACGTAGTGCAAGGTTCTGTGAGACGGACATAAAAAATGTCATCAATTTTGCACGCGACAACTTGATTGTTAGCTGGACTTCCAAATTAAGTGCGCTGCGGCTGTGTAGTTTCTTCGTAAGTGAGTTACTACAATATAAGCATGAATTAAAAGCACAATCCTGTGATGCGTATTTCGCTTCGATATACATTCCGGCGAAATTAAAAGTAACGGTTCTTGTAAAATTATACTTGGTCGATTCAGTTGTTCGCGTTCCTTTTCGTTATACGATTTTTTAAAACTATATCGCGGATTCTGAAGTGTACAAACGGATTGAGAGAAAGAAAAAAGCCGCGTGT